CTGCGAGGCGGAGCGGCTTCTCCCCTAGTCGGGAGAGTGGGGATCGGGTATTCCCGTGATGCGGGCATCGCGCGCGGGGGGCGCGCGCGCCTTCTGAGCTGCATCCTAAATTTGCATTTGCAAATCACTTTATTAGTTTTTGATGGTATACGCCTGCGAAGGGACGCTTTTGGTCAGAGTATACACAGATCTTTTCGTGAGCTTATGGGTGTAATACTGAGTAACGGGAGCAGATGTGGGCAGAAAGGGCCAAATGTTTTCAGCTAAAGAAAGTCAGTGGTTGCTCTTCTTTAATCAGTGACTGTCCATTTATAGAATAAAAACCTGAAGTAAAAAAAAAGAATAAAAATATGGGAAAACTAAGCCTCCTTGTCAAATCGTGTAATAGTACCAGGGGTCAGTTAGAATAGAGGCAAAGAACTTTTTTCTTTCAGATCCCTGAATCTAATGATAGACCTACCTGTCCTCGAAAAGAGTGTTTTTTGAAGACCTTGCATCTGATTTGGTTATATGGAGAAATTATTTCTAGAGTTTTCTGGTAATTCTAGATAAATAGGAATAGAAACGAAGTTTTATAGGTCACTAGACTGTAGGTTTGGGTTTGTGAGTTTTTGCTTTACTTGCCATGCTCTGTGGACCGCATAATTCTTTGTGGTGTGATTTTTATGAACATAGACACCACAAGTAAGCTTTGTGAAAACCAAGTAATTAATTCCAGTGTTTTTCTGTAATGAAAAAAAAGCTTCACCTAGTTCTAAGGTTTTGATAGTAATAATAGCGGCCATTTACTGAGGGCCCCCTAAGTACCAGTGTCAGGAACTTTACGTACATTCATTCTTTGTAATGTATTAAGCAGTCCAGAGAGCTGCTTCATCCGGGAAATACAGAAGGGAGACCGAAGTTCGAAGACTGTTTAACATCTCTTCTTAGTCCCAGGCACCTCCAACTCAGCATGTTCCCAAAGAAGTACATGTCTCCCTTCCCCACGCCTTTCCCCACACTACCCCACCCCCAAAAAATCAAACCGAAAACCACGCATACAACCATCATGCCTTTCCTTTTTCTCCGGCAGTGGTATCAGTAGTCACCCAGTTTATGCCAGAAACCTGAGTCTGCCTTGTCCCCTCCTCCCTGTCCTTCTCCCATAAATCTATCACCAAAAATCTTGCCAATTTTTCCTATGTTTCCTTTCCATTTTCTTTATCCCATTGCCACGACCTGATTCCATTCCATCATTTTCCTGCCTTTTCTTTTGTAGGAGTCCTGCGCTGGCCTGCCTCCCCCCCACCCCCACCTGGGACATTGCTCTACAGACAGAATGAGTGACTTTTCTAATATGTAAATCTACTCTCTTGGTTGAAACCCTTCCAAGACAACCCTTTAATTATCCTGAGGGTAAAATCCAACAACTGGAACTTGGCTTAACGATAGCTCTCATACAAGGCCCTGCCTGCCTTACCAGCCAGTTACAGTCCTCTTTCGATTTCTTGAATACATTCTCTTTTGCTCTTTTTTTTTTAATGGGAGGTAATTTTAGGTTTATTTATTTGTTTTTTATTTTTTTAAACAGAGGTACAGGGGATTGAACCCAGGATCTTGTGCTTGTTAGGCATGCACTCTACCACTGAGCTATATACCCTACTCCTTTTGCTTCTAAATATGTGATTCCCTCTGCTTCTGACACTCTTCTGTCCTCTCTGCCTGGTCAATGTCCATTCTTCCTTCATGCTTCAGCTTAAATATGACCTTCCTGTACACTAGAAATTGACACAGCATTGTAAACTGACTATACTTCAATTTTAAAAAATGAAAAAAAAAATAAAAAGCAACACAGAGTAATATAAATACAGTGAATCCTCTAATTAAAAAAAAAAATCACCTTCCTAATTCCCCAGGATACTCCTGCCGTCTACCAGCATGACTCTTCCTGGAAGACTGGCCCCTCTGCATTTGTTTAGGTCTGTGGTCCCATCTGCTTTGGACTGTGCATGGTGGCTGGGCTGTGGGAGGTTTGTTCTGGGTTATAAAACCTGGCATGGGTGCTCAGTGTCTACCTGTTGAGTGAATAAAGAAGTAAGTTGTCCTATCATGGTGGTTAGAGCTACTTTGAATTCATTCTGTCCTTTGAAAATAAATGTAATGCTCAGCTGTTTCTGTTCTTGAATATAGTTTGGGAGAGCCGGTGGTGACTGCAGCAGTGGGGCCCCAGTATGGACGGCTACACAGTCCTGAGAGTGATCGGGGAAGGCTCCTTCGGCAGAGCCCTTTTGGTTCAGCAGGAAAGCAGTAATCGGATGTTTGCCATGAAAGAAATAAGGCTTCCCAAGGTGACTGCTAAAGCAGTTAGCTTTTGTTGAGCGTGTACCTGTAATTTGTAGGGGAAAATAAATTCTTGAGCGTTAATGTGGTTTTTTGTGCCAAAGTTTTCATGGATTTATTCATATAATAAAGATCTTTGCAAGGTCTTGATATATCTTTTGTGGTTCTTAGGACATTATAATTAACAAGAATAATCAAGATTTGGGTGGTGATTGCTATTTATTTTATCTTAATGTGAATAATTTGTAATAAGTTCCAATTTTGCATACCTAAGGGTGTAGGGAATATGCCCAAAAGCAATTCAGGTGCAACATTAATGTAAAAAAGGAACATAAACATACAAGAGCTAGCTCAAGACCTAAAACGCTAACCTTCGGTATCAAGGAACCTATTCTGTGGTTTAGTTTGTCGGTTTTATTAATTTATAGGTGCTGATTTATCTGTACAGTTGACCCTTGAACAACACAGGTTTGAACTGCCTCGAGTCCACTTAGACTCAGATTTTGTTCAGTACTGAATACTGCAGTGCTACATGACCCGAAGCTGGTTGAACCCTGGATGCAGAAACTTGGATACGGAGGAACCACATGTGCGGAGGGCCGACTATGCATTGTGCTCAGAATTTTCACTGCGTGGAGTCAGTTCCCCTAACCTTGTTCAGGTGTCAGCTGTATTGATCACTGTGTGACCTATATGACATATCACTTACTATATGACCCTTATAGTGGTCATATGGAAGAACCATGCTATGAAGGCTGCTTAATAGTGTTTGGATAATTTTGTTTTAAATACACTTTAATAAAATTCTCAGAATGAGTATTTTTATTTTCCCATTGCATTCTTGACCTTGTATAGTGGTTCTCAGACTTGAGTGGGCATCAGAATCACCTGGAGGGCGTGTTCTAACAGATTGCTGAGACTGCCTGGTTGAGTAGGTCCAGGTGGGCCCGTGAATTTGCATTTTTAACAAGTTCCCAGTGGGTGCTGCTGCTGCTGCTCTGAGACCCCTTGTGGTAGGACATCATCAGTTGCAGTTGCTTAATTGTAAGAGAAGTCATTCAGGATTTTATCCTCATAGAGTAAATTAGGGGATAAGCAGTTTTGGAAACTTACTTTGCATATAGTCTTTGTCTATCCTTGCTGGTGTAAGGCACCAGTGGACTGATAAAGTGATGCAGACAGTAAAAACATGAAATCCCTAGTTTTTCTTTAAGGATCTGCCATTGTTGATGGCATGCTGGCTCCACAAGTTAGGATACGCTTAGGCTGCTGTTAAAACTCGTTTACATTCTGTGCTTGTAAAGACAAAAGAGGTCAGATTAAGCCTGCAAAATATGTGTAATGATAGTTGGAAAATCCCCACGTGTTTTCTCGTGGCGTTTCATCGACTTAAACTGGGTCAAAGCGCAGTGCTACAGAACTACGTCTAGCAGTGAAACGTACAAAATACTACCATATGGTAAACCTATCTATTTTTAAATGAAGTGTTACATTTACCTTATTTAAAATCTTTTTCTAGTCTCCCTCTGATACACAGAATTCTAGGAAGGAGGCTGTTCTGTTAGCCAAGATGAAACACCCCAATATTGTTGCCTTTAAAGAATCATTTGAAGGTAAATATGAATTTCCCCCAATACAAGCATTTCTGAATTTGATTCATGGCCACTATGGCTTTCTTAAGGAGGCTTCCATTTATTTTAGCTGAAGGACATCTGTATATTGTGATGGAGTATTGTGATGGAGGAGACCTAATGCAGAAGATTAAACATCAGAAAGGAAAGTTGTTTCCTGAAGATATGGTGAGAGACTGACACCTAGTTTCCCTCAATGTTTAGAAGCACCTTTTCTCATAAAATCTGTATGTGATTTTACATGATTACCTGACACCCTAGTTAGAAATGACTAATTTCTGTATCCATCCTATTGCTGAGTGTGTAGTTACAATGTGGCTGCCTGCAATGTTTTTAGGAAGTAAAATAGACATAAGTTTATAAAATACCTAGAAACAAAACTTTCATGTTTAGAAGAAATTCAAAATTGTGTTTATTCATATTTTGTACTAGATATATTTTAAATTTTTATTTTTTCGAATTGAAATGTTAGAAGGCAGGTGGATTTTTTTTGCATTTCTAGATCATCTGAAGAATGAAGCCTGCAGTTCTGTTTTTTGGGAGTACCTATTCTCAGTCTTTTTCCTTCTAAAATTTAGCATATTCCCTTAATATGCTTACTGCCTTTTTAATGGAAAGTTGCATATTAAATATTAATGAAATGAATTGACAAAGGAAAATATTACATAGACAGCTTTACTGGGGCTTAGTGTGATATAGGGTATAACATGTTATGAAAGTATATTGGTATAAGTATTTTTCATTTAGAAGTTGTGTTGTTAAGAATCTGGATTCCATAGTAGGAGGTCAGTTTTGCTTAAAATAGATGAATCTTCACAGCAAAAAAGGGATGAAAAAGGGTCAGTTTGACATTTAATTGTGGGCACCTGGAAATCTGGGTACTATTGACTGGGGATTTGTAAGCGGAAATGCTGACCTCAAAAGATTGTTGATAATGTAATGAAATCTTTTAACATATGAATAGTCTGGATGTAAATGAAGTAAATGAAAATCTGATGTAATGATTACAGTATAAAAAGTTATAGCATATTCATTTCTAAGTAGTGAACTACTTTTATATCTGCATTTAAGAAATTCTTTTATTTGGTTGAATATAAGAAAAATATAGTGGGAGTTTTATTAAAATAAATTGCTCTTTGGATCACACATAAGATAATGATAATGGAGTTCACAGCTTTTCAGAATTTCTCCAGGCATCACTGAATCTTAGTTGAAGTATGTAACTTTTAGCAGTTCTATACTTGTATTATGGAAAACCCAGGTCAACCAAGGCTGAGAGATGATTCTTGAGAATTTGGGGTTACCCTGACCCATCTACTGCATTCTTACAGATTCATATGCTTTCTTTCTCACAGATACTTAACTGGTTTACACAAATGTGCCTTGGAGTAAATCACATTCACAAGAAACGTGTGTTACACAGAGATATCAAGTCTAAGGTAAATGAAATACATTTTGGACCTGAAAAAAAAAACCAAACCCAGACTTTTATTCAGTCTTTTTTCTGTGTTATTCTGTTTCTGTTGGGGGCATTTTTATTTAGTTTAGGAATATTTGTCTATGTAATTATTTGTACTGGCCAAATAAAGTACTACCTGAGAAAGGGTTATTTAATCTCTTTAGTAGTATATGTTAATGTGTTCCAGGCTCTCTAAGTGACTTCTTACGGAGACCACGTGTGCTCAGATGAAAAATGGTTGAGACTAGGACCTGCCATGTGGAGTTACCCTGATACAGTTTTCCTGGTTGATCAGGGTGTGCTGATACAGTCTGAAGCTCGCTTGTTAGATTTCTAAACAGACATCCTGAATTCCCAAGCAAGGGAATGTGTAGCTGTCAAGACAGTATCTTGTCTTTTTTGTGTTCATTCGGAGACTTGGCTGTCAGCATTTCTACTCCTCATCTCCATCATCAGCAGGCTCTGAAAGACAGCTTCTCCCAGAGATCTCTGCCTTGTGTTTGAATGATGGAGGATGTAATTTGAGCTTTTCTTTTTTTTGATGCAGAATGTCTTCCTCACCCAAAGTGGAAAAGTAAAACTGGGTGATTTTGGAGCTGCCCGACTTCTCTCCAAGTACGTATGTCTAGTCTATAGTAGTGACAGTAATAAAAATATCTATTATTCAGAAATGCCCTGTAATCATTCTCTGCCTTTTTGTGATTTTAGTCCCATGGCGTTTGCTTGTACATATGTGGGAACACCTTATTATGTGCCCCCAGAAATTTGGGAAAACATGCCTTATAACAATAAAAGGTAAGTGATGACTTAGTTGGTACAAGGGTGGCTGTTTGGTGACAGGCATTGTAGCCTATGGATGAAATTTTATTTTTAAAAAAATATATCTCAAAGCAGTGTAGAATTTAAACTCCCAGGCTTCTAGATGAAAGTCATAATTTTCCAACTGTTTTGATCAGAGCTAAGAGGAGCTACATGTAAATGCTGAAAGAAAGGCTAGTCATTTCTGGGAACAATATGAATTATATTACTGCTTCTCAAACTTTGCTGCTCCCGCTTTTAAAAATCCCAAAGCACAGGTTGTAGCCATACCAGTTAAATCCAAATGTCTGGCGTGGGAAGCAGACATCAGTAATTTTCCAGGATTACCAAGTGATTCCAACGTGCAGTAAAATTTGGGAACCACTGGATTATGTCACTGAGTTAACATTTATAGGACCAGGTAATAAGCACTTCTCATTGATTATGAGAAAATGGTATGAAGTCCTTATGATTGAAAACATAAGTTTTTTCTGAATGTAAGTAATATATGCCCACTCATTGATGGAGAGGGTGGGCAGGGGAGATTGGAAATGTAGAGATATACAAGAAGTGAAATGGACATCACCCATTTTTACACAATGACTAATAGTATTTTGGGTTTTTTTCCTCATCCATTCACTTTTTCCACTAAACTTAGATAAATACTGTATATTAAATTTAGTATGTTGCTTTTTTCACTTTGTATTATATCATATCCATTTCACACCATATCTAAACTCTTCATAATTATTGTCAATGGTCGCATAATAGTTTACTACGTGGCTCTTCTGAAGTTTATTTAACATTCCTCTGTTGTTGGCCTTATGACATGTTTCCAGTTGTCAGTGTCCTAAACAGTGCTGTGATTAGTAATGCCTCTTATGCATAAACATGTCATTGTTGTTTGGCACATTCTTGGCATAAATTCCTAGAAGCAGAAACACCTAAAGGTTCTTGTTACCTTCTGCCAAATTGCTTTCTGAAAAGGGTATGAAAATCCAGGCTGAATAGGCTCCTTGAAGAGTAAAATTGACTGAATTGGAGACAAAACTGCTATAAAGGGACTTCCTGGGACAACTGGGGAAATCTGAGGTTGGACCAAATTTTAGATAGTAGTGTTGAATTAAGGTTAACTTTCTTGGATGTGATAATGGTATTGTGTTCATGAGGGAGCATGTCCTTTCTCTTAGGAGATACATGCTGATGTGCGTCGGGGTGAAATGTTTGATGTCTGCCACCTTTTTTTCAAGAGGTTCAGATCCAGATGGAAGAGGGGAACAGCAGGTGAACGTGGCAGGTGTTAATGACAGGGGTCCTAGGAAGGAGCATGTGGGCATTTACAACTTTTCTATAGGTTTCAAACTTTAAAAAATTAAAAGTTGGGGGAAACAGTTGATAAAAATCTTGGTTAAAATAAAAAGAATATCATCTGGAAAATGTCTGGAGGATGACAAGTAGGTGATGAGAATGATGGAGGAACCTGGAGGGGCTTAGTATGAAGAAGGGTGGGTGAACTCTATCCTGATTTTTAAAGAGCTGTTTTGTGGAAGAATAAGAACGCTCTCCCTTAGAGCCATCCGGCGGGGGCACAGAGGGCTGTCCTTCAGGAGGTGTGAGCAGAGGCCTGATGTTGTGCCCAGGTGGTCTGGACAGAAGCTGCACGGGATGACCCCTAAAGTCCTTCTTCCAACTGTGGTCACCTGAGTCCACGAATACCCGCTCTTGCAGCGAGTACTACCGAAGTGATACCTGCATCACCCAGATGTGCAGGAGCAGAGCTGGGGAGCAGCGTTCTCTTATGAATGTTACTGTTAGTCAGCATCTAAGGTTTAGACCCAGGTTTCCATATATTTTATTTCAACAGCTGGGAATTACTTGTGATATCTATCCTTATTAAAGGTCGAGTGATTTTTTTAAAAAATTGTTGTGTTATAAAATACATATATTTTAGTATGATTACTCATAACCTATCCGTCATTTCATTGCTTCTTTATGCTTCCAGTGACATCTGGTCCTTGGGATGCATCCTCTATGAACTCTGTACCCTTAAACATCCAGTAAGTATGGCATGCAAAATGTGAGAAGTCGTGTGGGGCCAAGTCCTAAGTAATGTGCCGGACTCCAGCTGGCAGTTTGCTCCCCTACGATGTATTCATTATAATATTTTTTCCTGTTTTTTAATATTGCTAATTGAAATTTTTTCTTTTTCAGGGGTGGGGTGGGAAGGTAATTAGGTTTATCATTTGATTGATTGATTAATTGATTGGAGGTACTGGGGATTGAACCCAGGACCTCATGCCTGCTAAGCATGCGCTCTACCACTGAGCTATACCCTCCCTCCGTTATAAGATTTTCATGTTTCCACTGCTGTCATCTTTGCCTTGAACCACTACTGTAGCATATCCTAATAGGATATTTCCATGATGCAGTATTTGTAGTTCTACACTTAGCTTGCCTTCCTTCCTTTCTCCCACCCACCCTCCCTCCCTTCTTTCCTTTTTTTGTGGGTATCCTTAATTTCTTTTAATTTGGTGACATATATGTAACATAAAATTTGCCACTTTAACCAGTTTTAAATGTACAATTCAGTGGCATTTATTACTTCACAATATTATACAGCCATCACTACTATTTGCAAAACTTTTCCATCACCTGAAATAGAAACTCTGTACCCATTCATAACTTCATATCCCTCTCTCCCTTCGGCCACTGGTAGCTTTTAATCTACTTTCAATTTCTATGTATTTGCATATTCTAGATATTTCATATAAGTTAAATTATTCCATATTTTCCTTTTGTGTCTAGCTTATTTCACATAGCATAGTGTTTTCAGTGTTCATCTGTGTTGTAGCATCCCTTTTTATGACTATATAATTTTCCATAGTATGTTTATACCACTTTTTATTTATCCATCATCTGTTGATGACAGTTGGGTTGTTTCCACCTTTTGCTGCTGTGAACATGCGTGTACAAGTATCTGTTAGGATCCCTGTTTTCAGTTTTAGGGGAACATACCTTGGAGTGGAATTGCTGGGTCACATGGTAATTGCACATTTAGCTTTTTGAGGAACCACCAGACTGCCTTGCAGAGTGGCTGTACCGCATTTGTCTTGTTGCAGTTGGATTTCACTTCTGCGAGTTTCTTCTCTAACCTCTCTAACTGAAGTATCGTGAGAAAATAAACTTTGCTCCTTTATACTACGTATTTTTCTAAGATATTTTAAAAAGAGGTTAAATCACTTGCCCTGCTTGTTTACTACACAGAACTAACAATCACAGTGCTGATCCCTATTAAGTATTAGCTTGGCGTAGAATTAAATTCTGTTCTTTGGGCGCGGATTAAAACTTGGCTCTACAGAGTGTTTTTACAGACGTGCTTGAGAGCATGCAGAGCTCAAGAGAGTGAGTGACTGAGAAGAATCCTTCACCACTAGATGAAGGAACTCAAAGGGAAGGCATGCTCCATGAATGAGAGGTCAGCTCCTCTGAATATAAGTGGCTTATAACATCAGCTGCGTAATTAGAACAACCTGGGCAACTTTTTAAAATGCTGATGCCTAGGCCCACGCCAGACTCATTGATTTAAAATCTCAGAGGGTGTCCTGGACATTAGTGGTTTTGGTTTTGGTTTCTGTTTTTCCATTTAATTTGTATTCATTGGGAGCATTCTTTTTTTAAAAAATTTTGTCCTTCCACTTGTATTGAGACATAATTGACATACAGCACTGTATACATTTAAGGTGTACAGCATAATGATTTCACTTACATGCATCATGAAATGGTTATCACAATGATGTTTAGTGAATCTCCATCATCTCATAGAGATGCAAAACAAAAGAAAAAGAAAAAATTTTTCCCTTGTGATGAGAATTCTTGGGACTTACTCTCTTAACAACTTTCATATATAACGTACAGCAGTTTTAATTATATTTATCATATTGTATGTTACATCCCTAGTACTTACTTATCTCATAACTGGAAGTTTGTACGTTTTGCCTGCCTTTATCCAATTCCCCCTTTCCCAAACTTCTGCCTCTGATAACCACAAATCTGATCTCCCATTCTATGAATTTATTTGCTTTTGAAGTATAATTGACCCACAACACTATGCTCGTTCCTGGGACATTAATGTTTTTAAAACAGCTTATTTTACTGTGTAGCCCAAGTGGGGTACAAGCAAAATTATTTTTAAAATTTCAGTACCTTTTTTGTGATTATATTTTTCATTTCCCTGATTTTGTCTTTTTTATAAATGTTCATGTACATGTTCTTATTTGTTCCAACAAGAATAACTATTAAGGTGTACAGTGCCCTGAGTATTTGGCACAGGATCTGTTCTCTTGTCTGTTTTAAAAAAGGCAAAAGCAGTTCTCAAACCTTTAGGAAATGCAGAAACTCAGTATAATGGTTAAAAAAAACCTGAGGCAAAGGAGATTCAATCTTATTTTTCATTTCCTGAATTTTCTCTTGGTTATTGCTTTTTTCCTTACTTACATGTTGATTTTTCCTTTCTCATATCGTTTATATATTAACAGGGTAGGGCACCTCCGAGGCAGAATGCCATCATGCTCTTACATAAATATTAACCAAGGCTGACACCTGATGTTAATTCCAGTATGTTTATTATACAATGAAAACTTTTTAAATGTCTTTCTGGTATGTCACGTTCTATCCCACTCTATTACTTGTCAAATTTTAATAACTACTTTGATGACATAAGAGGTGAAAAAGGTTTTGCAGTCGAAGTTTAAAATGGGAAAAGTCTAAAGTGCATATTATCAGGGAGCAGGCCTGGGGATTTCTGCGGAGGAGGAAAGCAATGAGATGTTACACTTATTATAAGCCTTAGTCTCATTTGACTTTTTAAAAAGCCCTATGTGATTTTTAAAATGTATTAAAAATGTGTATCTGCAAAAACATTGATTTGAGTCATAAAGTACCCAAATCAAGCATTGATGCTAAGAGTTCCTCTAGGTGGGGACATCTTTTACTGTTGAAGCTTACCTTTCTCCTGAAGAACCGTAACATTTTAGAACAGTACCTCAACAACACCTCTAGGAAGAAAAATTTCTAAAATTAAAATAATTCTTATCAATTCAGTTCCACTGGTGTTTCCTTATTTCCATTCTCTTCCCTTGTATCTGCTTTTACAATTCAGTTTTCCTTTTCAGTTTCAGGCAAATAGTTGGAAGAGTCTTATCCTCAAAATATGTCAGGGGTCCCTGAGCCCACTGCCCTCCCATTATTGCTATGAGCTTCAGTATCTAATCAAGCAGATGTTTAAAAAGAATCCCTCACATCGCCCCTCGGCCACAACGCTTCTCTCCAGAGGCTCTTTAGCTCGGCGCATCCGGAAGTACTTGCCCCCAGAGGTATGTATGATGCATGTGGGGTTGACTGTGAACAGTTTTCAAGTGTTAGTTAACTTTGAAACACAACTACGTGTTATACGTGCCTGTAAAACTTCACATGATACAGACATACAAAAAAATAGAAAGTTAAAGCTTCCTTTCCCTCCTCCCTTCCCACAGAGCTATTCCCCCAAATATAATCACGGGTATAGTTTGCATTATCCCCTCCACATCTTTTTCTGGATGTATGCACATGTCTCTTTGTCTGTCTAAATTACTTGGATTTTTCAAAATGGCCCTTTCACTTTAAAACTTTAAATACGATTGTGGGGAAGAATGTTAATTAAATGACATTATGGCAATGTCTAAAGAAAAGTGTATTTCAAATTCTTTAAATTCTCTGCTTAAAATTTTCAGATCATCACAGAATATGGTGAACAGATACTAGAAGAAACCAAAAAATCTAAGCATAGTACACCAAGAAAAAAGGGTAAGAATTTTGGAAAGCTTATTTTTGGTTAAGTGTTCTTTTAAAATGTAGTATAACAAAAAAGAAAGTAGAATTTTCAAGTTATTAGAGATGATTTCCAGAGATACTCCTCAAATCAAAATTTTCTTTTTGTTCCTTCAGACATAATTCTGTACTGATTTATACATTTGTTTTGCCAGGGATCAGAAAAAGCCTAGTGTGGAGATTTTAGTGATGTAAAGATTATTCTCTGTTTCGTTGTTAGAACCATATTGACTCAGGTTGGAAGGCTTCTGTGGGCTAGCCTAGGAATCTAACCATGAAAATGGAATGTTCGTCTTATAGGAAATTGTATCCCCAGGTTTCCAAAGAACCATGCTATAAGCAAATTTTTAAAAGCAGAGCCTTTTCAAAAGTTGTGCTGTCTACATAATAGCTACACAAAATTTCTATACATTTATAGTCAATCCTGAGCAGATTACCTGTGTAATTTATTATTTCTTTGGCAGTTGTCATCTCTTAATTTTTTCAAAGCTATCTTTGTTCCTTTTCATTTCTCATCAATGACTTAGGCCTTCTATCTCTAGAAATGCAATTGAAATAGTAGATACGACCAGAATCAGAGAGAAGGGGTAAGGACGTGTTGTAAAACCTCAGTTGTTGGGCACCTATTATCTTAGTGTTATATACTAACTACTAAAGAAACATTTCTAAACTATACTGTTTTCTTAAAGTTAAATTTTAAATGTTATTTTTGTAAGAATGGAAACCCTTCTAGTGATGTAAACTCTTCAGTCTTGTAACTCAGCCTTTTATCCATTACTTAAGGGGTGGTCAGTTACCTTTGCTTCAGCAGTTTTAGTGTTAATTTTACTTTGCATACTGTTTTGTAGCTTTTGTTCACTTCCCAGGGTAGTGGCAAATTAGTTTTAAAATGCTGGGCAACAGCAACAAAAATCACTCTGAGAAAAGTTTCAAGATCGGAAAGTGTAGCTTTACAATTTCTAAAAAGAGAGGAGAAACCAGCAGGGAGGTGCCAGGATATCGGGACCGTGTGTCTGGTGGTGTCTCCATGTAATCTGCAGACTGAGACCAGAGCAATGAAAACGATGTGAGGACAGGAACCGTGTCTGATTTACTCACTGTTGTATCCTCAGTGCCTGTCATCATCGACGCTCAATAGCAATTTTTAAAAATTATGATTGAATGAGGAACATGGATGGCAGGGCTCTGCCGGCAGAAAATCCGGCAGGAGCCATCCTCACCTAAGGGATCAGTTGCTGGAGTTCTCCCTGACTGCTTGCTGCAGGGAATAAGCAGCTGAGTTCTTATAAGTCATGACTTGCACCTGCTGTAATAGCTGTCAGGGAAAGCGCAGACTCGGTAGCTAGCTTGTGCAAACGGTGATAAGGACCTTCCGAGGATGCAGAGCGTCTTACCCCTTGGTGCCTAAGTGGGTTGGCATAAGTGAGTAGAGGTGCCTTAACTTTCAGATGTTAACGTTCAGAATAAACAGCAGAAATAGCCTCTTTTAACGGCCGAGGAGTATATATAATTAGACGATTAAAGGTTTATATCTCTATACAGGCTAAGATTTTTGTTCTTGGACTTTAAAAACTTGGTCTTCATGTGTCTCTTAAGCTTTATGCAACTCACAATAGGAATCTTTATGAGCTTTCTTTCTGCCTTCTCTTTTGTCTTTAATCAGACCCCAGCAGAGTCAGGATTGCTTTGCAAAGTGAAGCAAGCACAGTGGTAAGTGCTTTAAAGTTTAATTTATAAAACCGTCTACTGGGTACCTGGCATCACTAGATGCTGTGAGATATTTGAAGGACTGTCGCCTGGTCCCTGGCTTCAGGAGTTTTTCGCCTTTGGGCCTGTGACGTAACTGGTAGCTGTTGCTCTGCACTGCCAGCTGAGCCACTTGAGAGTCATTTTATTTGTTTTTTCATTGGTCATCATTGATGACAAGCGGTTTCAATACAGATGTGAGCGAACTTAAAACTTATGAAAATCTTATTTTAGCTTGGCTTTTGGTTGGTTTGTTATTTTGTGGTAAAATATATATCACTTCAGCAATTTCTAAGCATAGAGTTTAGTGGCATTAGTTGCATTCACAATACGTTCCTATCACCCTAAACAGAAACCCATTAAACAATAACCACTCATTCTTCCCCACCCTGACTCCCACCCCAGCCCCTGGCAACTTCTACTTTGCTTTCTGTCTCTAAGAACTTGCGTATTCTAGATATTTCAAAAAAGTGGAATCATGCAATATTTGCCCTTTTGTGTCTGGCTTCTTTTGCTTAGCATGATATTTTCAAGGTCCATCCATGTTATAATCTGTATAATAATTTCCTTCTTTATTATGGCTAAGTAATATTTAGATCACTATTTTGATCTTGACATTTTTCTGTTCAAAAACTTTTAGTGCCTTCCTGTTATCCCACGAATCAAGCAGATATTTTTCAGCCTGGCATTCAAGGTCCTGTTCGTCTTGTTTGGCCCTAGGCAGCTGTGAGCCCTTTTACACCATAGCTGCAATTAAGTCATGTACAGTAACAGGCAATCCACTTCCCAGTGTTGCCACACCCACCCCAATAACTCATGTACTATTGCTAATTTGTTTCTTCATTATTTTAATCAACATTTTAACTCCCACAGGAAAAGATGTACTAAGAACAAATTATTCTGCTTATGGAATGTACTAGTAATTAAACTTATAAATTTTTTGAATGAATCTCAGGTTGTAAACAAATAACACCATTCCCCATTATGTTCCTACAAATGGAATATGTTCTGCCCCTATACTTTTTTCTTTGCATAGTAATATCTGTTTATTTCCAGCTTTATTGAGGCATAATTTGAATGCAATAAAATTTACTCATCTTTAGCATGCATTTTGATATATGTTGGTAATTTTTACAGTTATAGAACCACTACCACAATCAAGATAAAGAAATGTTTCATTGCTCATTTCCTGTATAAAGACCTCCCAAGTCGAAAATGCATTTAATGCCCCTAACCTACCAAACGTCTAATTTAACATAGCCTACCTTAAACGTGTTCAGAACACCTACATTAGCCTCTGGTTGAGCAATATTATCTAACATAAAGCCTTCCTTATAATAAAGTGTTGACTATCTCATGTAATGTGTTGAACGCTGTACTGAAAATGAAAAACAGAGGGGTTGTCTGGGTCCAGAATTGTTGTGAGTGGATTGGCTGTTCACTCTCATGGTCAAGTACTGATGGGAGCTTCTGCTCACTGCCACTGCCCAGCATCCCGAGAGAGGCTCATACGACACGTCGCTAGCCTGGGAAGACATCAACATTCAAAATTTGAAGTACAGTTTCTGCTGAATGCATATCACTTTCAGACCATCATGAAGTCAAAAAATCGTAAATTGAACCATTGTAATTTGGGGACCATCTGTATAGCAACTTTATAAAATATTTTATTTTGATATTTCCAGCATGAAAAGCTCAGTATAGCAAATCATACTGAAATTTTTCATTGCTCATTTCCTCTATAAAGACCTCTCAAATATCTCTGTCATTTTTATATACCCTCTTCATATTTGAAATGATTGATATTAATGGCTATTAATGTATGACTATTAATATACATGCATGTGTATGTATAATATGTAAACATATATGTGATTTTTAATATACACATATATATGATGTAGATGGCTATGAATTAACATGTCTGTATGGGAGTCTATGATTATTACTGTTGGTTTATTAATCTTTATTTAAAGTTAAACTAGCTGTCTTTGCATATTTACCTTTTTTGTAGCAATTCAAGCATTCTTTTATCTTTATTTTTAATGTCTTTTAAAGCAAAGGAAAGAACCAGGTGGAAAGTGTAGCCACACTGATTTAGAAAGCATTAATACAAACTTGATTGAAAATACATTGACAGTAAACAGAGAAGAGAAAGGTAAGTTGTTATTCAAATTCTAATCATGGTGTAAGTGAGGAGCTGGGGAATATAGATAGAATAACCAGTTTCCACCTCACAGGGTCGTGAGGTGTCATAAGCAAGTAGACAGGTGAATCTGTGTTTGCTTATCCAGTAATTTATTTAATCTCACAGGAATATTTTATTTATGTATAAAAAAGAGAAAATAGTGTTTATTAATAAAAGCTTGGGAAAAAAATAGTAATTGTTGCGTTCTGTACCACAAAAAGCATGGCACACAGTGTGTACCTAAGTCTTCTCGGGGCTTTATTCTTGTACATTGTGTAATATCTGAATATATACATATTATTTTTAAAAGTTCACTTTAATGATTAGCTTCACTTTTTCATTTGGATTATTTTTCATTT